ATAACAACAACAACAATAAATACAATGTATAATAAATATAATAGAGCTTCCTTTCTCTATCATAGATAGGAATTGTTGTTCTTAGATGCCATTAAGTCAGTTATACCTCACAGTGACCCTATAAACAACAGACCTGACCCCTGTCCCGTCCTGCTCTGTCCAGTCCCTCTCTGACAGGCTCCAGCCCACGACTGCAGTCACTGTGTCCATCCATTTCATGGACGGTCTTCCTCTCTGTCTCTGACCCTCCACCTTCCACAGCACAATGTCCTTCTCCAAGGACTGGTCCCAGATGATCACATGTCCCAAGTCTGTAAGACCAAGTCTCCTCATTCTGGCCTCCAAGGAGGACCCTGGCTGCATGACCTCCAGGACATACCTGTGTGCTCTTTTAGGAGTCCATGGGATGGTCAGTTCTCTTCTCCAGCCCCACAGCTTAATGTCCTTGATTTTTCTTCTGTCATCCTTATTCATTGTCCAACTTCCAGAAGCATAGGAAGTAATGGAAAAGAGCATACATAAGGTGGACCTTAGTCTTTAAAGTGACCGCATTGCTCTTCTGCCTTTTATATGATACATAATGTTACATTGCATACTGTTATAGAAACATACTGTTACTGTTGCATTGTAACATGTATTTATTGAATAGCTACAATGTTCTGTATCTTCTTGCTTTTTTCCACTTTATAAAACAGTTACGTGCATTTTGACATGTATCTATTGATTAAGTATCAAAGACACAAAGTATTCTCCAGCACTTCATAAAATCCATACTGTTACATGCACTGCAACATGCATCTATCGAATAGATTCCATGACAGGTACAAGATTAAAGATGTCACAAGCTCTTTGCAAACAGATTCCAGGGCTTGGGGACTCTAACATCACCTAATGGGGGACTCCTCACAACTGCCCCAAGCTGACCCATACTAGCAGATTGTCCACACGGAAATGATGAGACTCGGACATCTCTGGTCTGACCAAGTTATTGAGGTGGTCGGCATCCCATCGGCCGTCGACAGCAGTCACATTGTGTGACGTGAGAATGGTGTAAATGGACATGAGGGAGACCTGACCATTTACAGATGTGGACCTGGACTTCACCAATTTTCATTGTGATCTCTCTCTCTCCCTCTCTCACTGTCTCTCTCTCTCTTTCTCTCTGTGTGTGTCTCTCTCTGTGTCTCTATCTTTCTGTCTCTCTCTCTCTCTGTCTCTGTGTGTGTGTCTCTGTCTCTGTCTCTCTGTCTATATTTCTCTTTCTCTGTGTGTCTCTGTTTCTCTCTCTCTGTGTGTGTGTGTGTGTCTGTCTGTCTGTCTCTGTCTCTCTGTCTATGTTTCTCTTTCTCTGTATCTCTGCCTCCCTCTGTCTCTGTGAGTGTGTCTCTCACTGTGTGTCTCTTGCTCTTTGTCTCTTTTTCTCTATGTGTGTCTCTCTCTGTCTCTCCCTCTGTCTGTCTCTGTGTGTCTGTCTCCCTCTCTCTGTCTCTCTCTTCTCTCTCCTCTCTCTCTCTTCTCTCTCCTTTCTCTCTCTTTTCCTCTGTCTCTGTCTCTTCTCTGTCTGTCTCACTTTCTATTTCTCTCTCTGTCTCTGTCTCTCTCTCTTTTCTCTCTCTCTCTCTCCAGCTGGGCATACTCACCCCACGCGGCCTATGCCCAGAGCAAGCTGGCCCTGGTCCTCTTCACCTACCACCTCCAGCACCTCCTGACCGCCTCAGGGAGCCCCGTCACTGCCAATGCCGTGGACCCCGGCGTGGTCAACACCGACCTCTACCGCCATGTCTTCTGGGGCACCAGGCTGATCAAGAAACTGCTTGGCTGGCTCCTGTTCAAGGTAACAATGCCAGGAATGGCCAGAAGAACTTGCCTTCCAGGCCGCGCCGAGGCACCTCTCTGCGGGTCAGCATCCAGCCTGGTTCCACAGGGTGCCCAAAGGGACCTTTGGACAGCAGAGAATCTCCAGGACTTTGTTCCTCGCAACCCTAGGACTGAATCTTCTCTTCCCCTGTGTCTTGTCTTCTCCTGAACTCCTTTAAGCAATCTTCCAGTCACCTCTGTTTCCTCTCTGGCTGCTGGCACCTCCATCTCCACCCCTTGTAGTGACAGACCTGAGCTGTCAGCTGATTTTCCACAAGGACACAGCCTGGACCCAGTTCCTTGTCACCTTTGGGTGCATTCGAACCTACAGCCTTCTTTCAACCCTGTAAATCTTCATGGAAACACAACTGTCTCATTTCTGGTCCCTCAGAGGAGCTAGTTGGATGAGAACTGCTAGCCTTTGGGTTACCAGCCACTTTCTTAGCTTCTACAATACCAGGACTTCCTCAGCGGCCCTGAAGGGTGGAGTAGAGCTGCCCTATAGGATCTCTGAGGGTGTGAATCTTTACAGAAGCAGACGGCCCCTGCTTTTTCCCTCGGAGCTGCTGGTGGGTTCAAACCCCTGACCTTGTGGTGACAGCTGAGTGTGTCCCCCCTGTGCAGCAGGGCTCCTGAGCATCTAGATACATAGTAGCTCTCTAGTAGCCTCTCCTGAGAGTCTAGATACAGAGTATCTCTCTGGTAATCTCTGTGTGTCACTGTGCACACACTGTGTGGAGGGAAGGCAGGTCTCTCCTAGAGTGGACCAGGCGTGAGATACAGTGTCACCAGCTGGGATTCATTTGTGTTTGACTTCCAGCAACCTTGTATCACAGAGCAGAGCTGCCCCATGGGGTCTCCGAGGCTGTGAATTTCTACAGAAGCAGACGGCTTCAGCTGTCTTACTCAGACAGGCTGCTGGGTGTGAACTGTTAACCTTTGACGTTAGCACTTAATCCTCTGGTGCCCCAGGGCTCCTGAACGCCAACCCAGCTAGGAAGAACTGCCTGACTGTGCTTCCCACAGCCCACAAACCCCTTGTGGATGACCACCCATCACCGTCCGAGTGGCCTGCTCGGAAGTGGACAAGAGCGTTACCCTTCAACGGGGAGGGACGCCCCAGGAGACACACTCAGTGACCCCAACAATGAACATAAAGATAGAGGAGTGTGGTCTCTGCTTGTCCACATGGCCAGCCTGCCTCTGACCTATCTTGCTGGCCCGTGACGTCAAAACTCAGATTGTGTTTGTTTAGATTTCAGGAGCATCGTTCTGCCTCTGTGTCTGGGGTTCACAGGAGAGCCAGGACACCCATCTCAGATACGTAGGCAAAGACAGTGTCTGCCGCATCCCTTGTCCACAGGAGCTGGGCATTGGGAGGGTCAGAATGCAATGGCTGGGGTTCCCACAACACCTACACCTTTTGCTCTCTCTCACTTCTCCTCTTTCTACCTGTCAATGCCACTCACCTTCCAGCATCGCTGTGCAAATGCTCTTGTCTTCCTCCAATGACCTACCTTCCAACACCCCCTCTCCACATCATTAGAGCTTCACGCTCCTATGCCGTCCTCAAAGGATGCTGGGCGGCTGGACACACAGATCCATTCACTCTTGTCGTCCAGCCCCGGCTGCGGCTACTTCATTCTTTCTTCTCTATTTTCTGTTTCCCTGCATGCTGGACCATTTGACCATGCGTCCACGGGCCCTGATGAGACAGGGGATGAACGAGGGGATGCTTTTAGCTTCTTCCACCTCCCCCCTCAAAAAATCAAGGAGGACACAAAGGAATCATTCCATCAGCATGAATTTGCCAAGTGGGACTGAGTAAACTTCCACCTCCCAAGATCTAGAGACATTATGTGGAAATCACATTCTCTCTGCCAGTCCAGACAGAATGCTGTGTCCTCAAACACAGGACGTGGCCACATTCAGGGTTACTGATCCCGGAGTTCCTGCTGAAACTCCCCCCCAAAAGTATATCCCTTAATCATCATCCCATCATGTCTGGACTAAAGCTCACCCCCATAGCCTGACTTCCATCCAAACAACACACACATCTAGGAGGTGATCAATAAAAACCAGGGAGATACTTGCTTTCTTGCCACCATTGGGCTTTGAATCCAGACCAAAAAATAGACTCGATGGCACATAACAACAACAGCTCAGGGAGGAAGCACAGAGCACACAAAAAGGGGCAGGAAATGAAGATGTGTGGAAAAGAGAATCATAGGGAGGGAGCAGGACAAGTGCTTTTTTGAAAGAAAAAACAAAACACCACTTGTGTTCTAGAAGAAGGTTTCTGGAGTTTCTGATCATACTTGGAAGACAGGCGCGCTGATGATGCAGGGATTAAAGCACCCGGCTGGTACCCCAAAGTCCAAGTGTTCTCATCCACCCAGGGGGTCGTCGGAACAACAGTGTGCCCCCCCCCAAGAATCCTTTAAAAAATTGTCATTGTTGAGTTAGAACTGACCCTCCCATGTGTTTTCAGGAGGCTTTAGATGACACATCAGTGAGATTGCCTGGCTTTTGCCTTCAGAAGAGCTGGTGGATTTGAACCGGCTGACTTAGGGATGACAGCACAGCTTCTTACCCCCAAGGAGGCTCTCAGAACTGCTTCCTGCACATCCCCTGGGAGGCATTTTTCCCTCCTGCTCTGGGTGGGGTGCGGGATGCCAGCTGCCACTGCTTGGGTGAACACTCTGTTCGAGGGTGATGGGGTGAGAATTACAAAGAGTACTTTCAGGTGGACAGTTTCATTCTGACAGCTGGCCCCCGCCTACTGGGTTTTGCTTCCCCCCACAGACGCCCGAGGAAGGGGCCCGCACATCCGTGTACGCGGCTGTGGCCCCTGAGCTGGAAGGCGTCGGCGGCCGCTACTTGTACAACGAGAAGGACACCCCGTCCCTGAAGGTGACCTATGACCAGCGGATGCAGCAGGAGCTGTGGGCCCGGAGCTGCCGGCTGACCGGAATCCAGGACTCCAGCATCGTCCACCAGGATGATGTCCCAGGACAGGCGCGTGTGTCAGAGTGCACAGCTCAGGCCGCTGACCAGCAAGACAAGGAGAAGCTGGGTGGATGCGGGAGCAGGTGGACGGAGGGGTCAGCCTTGTCTGCCTCCCATGACTGAGTCCTTCTGTGCAGAGATGGCTTGTGCAGAACACCAGGGGCTCCGTGACTGCTTCCACCCTGGCCCAGGGGAGATACCCAGGTCAGGAACCTCCCCAGAGGCCAGCAAGCCAAGACATTGAAGCCTTAATCACCCTTGACCATCACACACACACACACACGCGCACACACACACACACACACACACACACACACACGGAGGTACTGAGGGACCACGAGAATTAAACCATCTCCTTAGCCAAGCCGTCTCCTTCTCTCGTCCATCTACGCCCAAGAGCAGTCAGGAGTGGTGTCCAAGCAGGGCATTCTGTCACAAAGGCTGGGGACACAGCGGCTGACCACTTGGTGGCTAGCTGAATGGCCAGGCGTTCAAGCCACAAGCAGCTCTAAGGGAGGAAACCGGGGCAACCAACCCCTGTAAAGATGACCTGTTGTCAAGTCAATTTCGACTATGTGGGGGACAAAGTCGAACTGGCCTGGGCGTGGGGTCTGTGAGGCTCTGACTCCTTATAGAAGTGGACGGCCTCGGCTTTGTCCTGCAGGAGGGGCGGGTGGGTTGGAACGGCTGGCCTCTTGGTTAACGGCTGAGCACTGTGGGCAGTCTGGAGCACCCGGAAGATGGAGAGAGGGAGGGATGGATGGAAGGATGCATGGATGAATGGATGCTGGATGGATCGATGGAGGGAAGGAGGGAGAGAGGGAGGAATGATGATGGATGAGTGGATGAATGGATGGATGGATGATGGGTGGATGGATGGATGGGTGGATGAATGAATGTGTGGGTGGATGGATGTGTGGTGTGTTGGATGGATGGATGGATGGATAGATGAATGATGGGTGGATGGATGATGGATGGATTGATGGATGGATGTGTGGATGGATGGGTGGATGGATGGGTGGGTAGAGGGGTGAGTTGAGGGATAAGTCAATGGGTAAGTGAATGGCTGGGTGGGTGGGTAGATGGTTGGGTGGGTGGAGAGAGGGAAGGAGGGAGGCAGGCCTGGGTAGGTGGATGGGTAGATGGTCTGGTGCTTGGATGGGTAGGTGTGTGAATGGATGGCTGTGTGGATCATTGCATGGATGGATGGATAGGTAGTTCGGTGGACAGACGGACAGGCACTTAACCCTCACACCACCTGGAGTCCTCATAGATCCCTCACCCTCTCAAATCTCAAGGGACAGAAAACCATTTCCTTTTGGCTCACAGCTCCCCTGCCAGAGGAGAACCACACTCTACAGCGGTTTGTGGGGGGAGCAGATTTGTTCCTAAGGACACAGCCAGGCCTTTCTTCCTTGGGCCTTCTACCTGGCTTTGAACTAACGACCTTCAGGTCAATGATGCCATCGCATCGACTCACCGCTCACTCACAGCAAAGCCGTGGAACTAGTCACAGTGACGGAGCAGGGCCTCCCTGCAGGGTTCCGGCTGCCATGTCTGTGCTAGAAGGTTGCCAGGCCTTTCTTCCTGGGCACCTCTTACGCACGCACTACCAGAGCTCCGTAAAGTGTTCAGTAGCACCAGTATCACGCATAGCAGATAACAGACATCAGGCTGGGCCCCACCCACGCCCTCACCTCCTGATCTGAGTAGTTCGAATCCCTTTCTCCTCTCAGCCAGCCTCCCCCCCCCCCCCCCAATCCTCATACTGGCCTCCCATCCCGTTGAAACCCACCACTTGGCCATTTCTACATGTCCCTTGGAACTACCTGTCAGACTCACTGAATCTGCCTTCAAAAAACAGCCTTTGCCAAGAGGAGGCAATCACCTTTGTCAGGGACTGCCCAGAAGCCTCTTCAGCCCCTGGAAAACCTGCAGTGAGAGAGTATCTGGCAGAAATGATGGTGAAATCTAACCAAAAGAGGGGGGAGGGAACACAGAAATGAATTCTCTGTCGTAAACAGCCCATAAAGGACTACGAGCGAGTTTCAAACCAGGCTTCAGGAAAGAATGGGTGGAGAAACCAGAGTGGAAATTGAATCCACAGGCATGGTTTGGGATCCGAAAAGAAAATAAAAATAGAACAAACCCAAAACAGGTGTGTGGTGCCTCCGTTCTTTAAAATTGCTGAAATGAAGACCCCACAAGGGGGTGGCTTTCAGAAACAGATATTTACAGATATTTGTTGCAGTTGTGAGGTGCAGCTGAGTTGAGGGACTCATGGATGCTGTGGACAGCAGATCTGAGCCCTGTCCTCTCCCTCTCTAACACTCTCCAGCCCACAGCTGCGGTCACTGTGTCCATCCACCTCGTTAAGGGTCTTCCTCTCTGTCTCTTACCCTCCATCTTCCCCAGCAGGACGTCCTGCTCCAAGGACTGACCCCCTGCTGACCGCATGCCCACAGTGTGTGAAATGAGACCAAATCTCTGTACCCTGTCCTCTAAGAAGCATCCTGGTTGAGCTTCCTCCAAGACAGACTTCTTTGGTCCATCTGTGGGGTGTTCAGAACTCTTCTCCAACATCATAATTCAAAAGCATCAGTTCCTCATAAGTCTTCCTTAGTCACCGCCTGACTTTCACATGTGAAAATATTGTGACGTGGTGAATCAGGTGCACCTTAACTCTTTCGATGGTGAGCCTTGCAAAGAACAAGGCCTTTGGAGAGGTCCCTGACAGCAGACTTCCCCAGCGCAATATGCCTTTTAACGGCTTCAACGCTACTGCCTTGGGTATGAGTGGTTCATCCAGGTCACACGGAATTGTTGACTTCTCCAATCTTTTCTCCGTGAAGCACGATGTTGTCTGTGGCACCAGTGGTGAGGATTTTTGTTTTCCTGATGTTGAGTTATAACCCATACTGAAGGGTATGGTCTCTGGTTTTCCACAGCAAGTGTTTCCAGTCTTCATCACTTTCTGGAGGCAAGGTTGTGTCATCTGCATAAAACAGGTTCTTGGTGAACCTTCCTCCGATCCTGAGGCCACTTTTTCATATAATTGTCACATGTCTGTCTCTCCATCTGTCCATCCATCTGTATCATCTATCAATTATCTATCTTGGGGGGAGAGTTGGGAGGGGAGAAACGTGCAACAATGAATGAATGGAAATCCAAC